ACCGGTTGCGGAGCGGGAAATGTCCCGAGGGCGGCTGAGTGCCATGTCTCTCAAAGTGCCCAGCTCTTCCAAGGACTCTGTGGGGGGCCCTGAAAAGGGCCGTTAGGGGTGCCAGGTCTGGGATGCCGCAGCAGACGCTTAGCCCCCGAAGCCGTACAGGGTGCGGCCCTGCCGCTTCAGGGCGTACACCACGTCCATGGCCGTCACCGTCTTGCGCTTCGCGTGCTCCGTGTAGGTCACGGCGTCCCGGATCACGTTCTCCAGGAACACCTTCAGCACACCCCGCGTCTCTTCGTAAATGAGACCCGAGATCCGCTTGACGCCCCCGCGCCGAGCGAGACGCCGGATGGCGGGCTTGGTGATGCCCTGGATGTTATCTCTCAGCACCTTGCGGTGCCGCTTGGCGCCACCTTTGCCGAGGCCTTTCCCGCCCTTGCCTCTCCCAGACATGGCTGCTGCTGCTGCTGCTATGACCTGCCCAGATTAGCCGTCGCGGTGCCGGGGGAGGGAGCTCGGTCCCCTGATATACGAGACCATCGGACCGGATTGAAAACTGCAAGCGGTCGTCATTGTCCCCGCCCCTCCACCTTTCTCTTTCTTTCCCCCGCCCTCCAGGCCGCCCTCTAGCGGGCACTATCCGCCACAGTCCCGAGCGAATTTGGATCCCAAAGCCAGGCTTCCGGATTCCACAGCTGTTTTCCTCTCCTCCTCTCCGTCTGTGGGCTCCCCCAGCCCCCCACCCCGCAGGCATTACACTTGAGCGAAGGGAAAAGGTCTCTGGCGGGCGGAGAAGACCCGGAGGAGAGTGAATACGAGTCCAGAGAGTGCAAACTCCGGGGTTCATCCAAACAAGAGGATCCCAGGCTCCAAACAGTGAGCAAAGGAAAAGGCAACAAAAGCTGTTTCCGATCGGCAGACAGACTGACGGTCGGACGAGCCCATCTCCAGGGCGGCCGGCACCTGGGCTGGAGGGGGAAGGGGTCCAGGTTTCCTCTCCATTTTGTTGGTGCCGATGCCCGTACGTCCAAGACCTACCGCCTGGCTCCTCCGAACGGGACAGCATTTGGAGGCGGGACCTTTAAGAAGGCGGTTAGGTGAAAGCGGGGTCACTGGGGTGGGCCCAGGCAACACGGCGGGGCAATGTGGGGGACGGGGGGAACACGGCCGTCTGCAGGCCAAGCAGAGACCTCGGGAGGAAAGTAAGCCCGCCCGAATCCTCCTCTCTGACTTCTGTCCTAATGTGTGGATATTAATTCCTGTTGTTTTCGCCCCTAGCCTGGGTTGCGGGCAAATCCAGGCCCCTCTGATCTCTGCCCAGAGCCTCATTCCCTCTGGACCCACCCGCCCAGTGGGATCCTCGGGATCTGAACTTGTGAGTTAGAAGCAGGAACAGCCCTGACTCTAGGCTGTGCAGGGCCTGCACCTTGTCACCCAGCGTCTCATCCACTGAAGTTTTGTTTCCAAACTCGCAGCCTGAAGTTCTCAGACTGACATTCCAGCTGGTCAGAGCCATCATTGGCTGGGAAACCCTTGCTGAGTTTGTAGATTTCCACCTCACGGCCCTTCCTCCCCAGGATCATACTCCCAGGACTGACACTAAATCAGGTTTTAAAGCGAAACTTACCACTTTAAAGCGAGCCAAAGAGATCCAGGACCTCCCTGTGGCCTGAGATTTGACAACCGCCTGTGCATCTGTCCTGGTAGGGCAGTTCAGGGGTCCCGGCTTAGTGGGAATCCAGGTCAAAAAAATTTTTTTAATGTTTTTTAAATTAAAATTTTAAAACATATGCTCTATCAGTAGAAACGATTATTATTATAACAATTATTGCTATTAACCCCAACATCAGCAAATGTATACAGGTGTCTGAATAGGAGAAAGAAGAGATCAAAGATGTTCCTTGGAGGGTTCTCGCCATTAATTGCCTTCTGGGAAGTTAAAATACCAAGCTCTCTATCACCCCTACCCCCTTCCTCAAGCTGTTCACTTCCCTCCTGGTAAACATGCCCAGGAGGAGCCCATAACCAGCAACTAAGGTTCTGAGCTGATGAGTCCTATGACCTTGAGAACAAACTGAGTCGAGCTATGGCCTCTGGGATGGAGAACCAGAGCCCCCAATTCCATTCTCAACGCCACCCCACCATAGATTATACTCAAGGTACATCCTGGAGGGAATAAAATGGGTGATATTTCTTTTTATTTTGACTTTAAAGCATAGATATTCTCCTCCCCCATCCCCACTTCTCAATCCAGAGAGGCCCAGGTTTTCAGTTCGTTACTGAAGTACCGTACTTAGGTAAAAACTGCAGATAACCTTGAGAGATTAACTTCGCTTAGTTCTGCTTCTGCATTATCTGCTTTCGCAAGATAGGGCCACAGCCGCAGGATGTGGCTGGGAACGACCCTTCGGGCTGTTCCCAGCATTTAGAATTTAGAACAAAGGAACATTTTTGTGGTTTAGACCTTTAAAAGGACTGTCTACATCTGAAACAGTGCGGTCCTGTGGACTCCAGCTGTGTGTGGTGCTCTTGTGGCCATTGCTGGCCAGTTCAATAAATCCTTGCCTGCTTTTTTTAATCAATTAGCAGCCTCTGGTGGTCTTATTTTTGACTCCAGGGTTCGACCCCACAACAGTTATCTTACTTTCTCAAGGCCCTTTTTCCGAGGAGATTAAATGAGTCAGTATGTATAAAGGACTTTGAACATTGGCTGGAACATCTCTAGATGTTAGCTAAGATTTTGTAAGGACTTTATTTTTCCTATCTTCTTATTTTATAATGCTTCTTATTTGTGGTCATATATTTTTCAATTACTAAACATTAAATAAAGTCCTCAGTGCACTTCTGAGCTAGAAGTGTGGCTAATCCTATATAATAAAACCCTACTATGCAAATCAAGCAAATAGCAGAACAACTAGTGAAAGGACTGGTTGCTATAACACCAGGGGGCAGACAACACTGCCCCCAGCCTGCAGGCCCCAGGCCAGCCAAGGCAAGTGCCAGGGTCTCCTCCCCTCCACATCCCCCATTACCCTGCAGGTCACCCCACAGATCAGCCCTGTCTAGGGGACCCTACTCCTGCATGAATTTTATGCACCAAGCCTCTACTGTCCTATATTCATCCTTCAAAAGTCAGAGGTACCCAGCTTTTCCTTCCACAGGCTCAGTAGTGATTGTATATATTACCTTCACTTAGAAAATATACCATAGATAAAATAAATTTAACTGGTAACTTTATTAATAACAATACCACCTGCACCCATTTGAAAACACACATGTGTAGGAAACATAAGATTTATTCAGTGTCTAATAATGTCTAATGTCCATTTGGATTCATAGAACTCCTGCAGTCGACTCTATAGGACTCCTTAGCCAAAGGCAGAGTAGAATAATTGATCAGACAGTGTCTTTATCAGCAAAATCAAGGCTTGGACAGAAAGATTCAACTAAGTAAAACTAAACTATGAGTGTCCTTACATCCGAGGGTACAGCGGTGGACAGTGTCAGCTGCATGACCAGTATTTATAGACCCACAACGCACAATGGGATCCTCAATGGTGTTTATAAAAGGGTTATTAATTAACCTTGCATATCTTACAGGGTCTGTCTTACATGGCCTAGAAAGCAAATGAGACTGGTAAGTGTAAATGAAGGCTCATCTCAGTGTGGAACAGAGGACTAAGGTAGGGGAGAGGGGGCTCAGAAAAGGGAGAAGGGTCTTTCCAGTGACCAATGCTTCCTATGTAGTAAAATCCAAAGACATTACACTAACAGGAATATACAGACCTACGTTGCTACCTCCTCTTTGGGACAAAGAATCCTAACAGGGGCCTCCTTCCAGCTGTTCCCTGAGCACGGGCAGATTTGGGAACTCCACAAATCAGTTCCGTTTTCATCAGGTTTTCACATACAGTTAATGGAAAAGAGCCGCACCCATCCTCCCGTGGAAATGATTAAGGGGTGTGACAAGAAAATTCAATAATATACATGTATTAAGTGTTTCTCCACTTATGTGCCAGGCACTTAATAGTACTGATGATATAACAGAAACCCACACCAACAGCGTTAAGGGCTTCAGAAAAACTAACAAAATAAACAGATCGGATTTCTGATGGATGCTAGGAGGAAGATTAAACAGGGAGGGAGGGACCAAGGCAGAAAAGGAAAAGTGCAAATTCCTGAGTGGGTGACTTGGAAAACGGAGGTGACTTGGAGCCTGGACTAAAATGCCCAGTGCCTTAAAGTAACCTAAATCCCGATCTTTCTAAATTGGTGGGGATGGGAGAGTAAGGGGGAGGCAGAGGGCGTGGAGGGATTGACCAATAAAGAACCCATGGACGACAGGGTAGTGATTTTGGGGAGGGGAAGAATAGGGAGGGTAAATGGTTTTAAAAAGATTACAAGTTTGAAAACAGTATTAAGTGCAAAAATTAGAATAGGGATTTCAAAGTCCTAAAGTGAGCAGAGGAAACCAGAACCTACGAATTTCAGAACGGCGAGCGGCTTTGAATATTAATGCAATCCAACCCGGAAAGTGACCGAACCTTGCAGCCTGGACTCTGCTCCAAGGGCCCAGAACCGCTGGTTCCCAGGCCACGTCGCAGGGCAGAACCAGTTGCCGGCACCAAAGCTGCTACCAAATCCTCGGGGAAATACCAGGGTTGTGACGCAGTGTTCAAGGAACCTGAGCTCGGTTGTGCAGGTGCCCCTTAATGAAGATGGCTGAAATAACGCCTTAAAAAGCTGAACACACCCAGGAGGCACCAGGCCAGCAGTCCAGGCCGGAGACTAACCTTGTTTAGAACAGACGCGGGAGAATAAAGAGGTTAAAGACGCGCCCTGGACTCAAAGAGCAAAGCCAGTCATGATCCAGGAACCTAAAGCCAAAGGCTTGGAAAGCTACGTTGTGCCATCCCGTAACCCTTGCCAGCAAAAAACCTTACTTTGTGGAAATCAAACGAAGGAAAATTATTGCGTGGCTACAGCTCTTTCTGGTGATTAGGTGGGTGGCTCTGAAAAGAGCCTTTGGAGTCAAGCAGCCGGCTACTCCTGGGAGCGCCGCGACCCTGGCGGGCCTCACTTGGAGCTGGTGTACTTGGTGACGGCCTTGGTGCCCTCGGACACGGCGTGCTTGGCCAGCTCGCCGGGCAGCAGCAGGCGCACGGCCGTCTGGATCTCCCGGGACGTGATGGTGGAGCGCTTGTTGTAGTGCGCCAGGCGCGACGCCTCGCCGGCGATGCGCTCGAAGATGTCGTTGACGAAGGAGTTCATGATGCCCATGGCCTTGGACGAGATGCCGGTGTCGGGGTGGACCTGCTTGAGCACCTTGTACACGTAGATGGAGTAGCTCTCCTTGCGGCTGCGCTTGCGCTTCTTGCCATCCTTCTTCTGGGCCTTGGTGACCGCCTTCTTGGAGCCCTTCTTGGGCGCGGGAGCGGATTTCGCAGGCTCCGGCATTGCGGGAAAGTACTAACGAGGGTCAGCTGGAAAAGGAAGTGAGGCGATAGGCGGGCCTGATCCTTTTATAACCACTGCATGCAAATGAGGGCTTCAGACGGCTTTCGTTTCCATTGGGCTGTGTAGGAACCCAGTCATAAAACCGTGACAACACCAACTCCCGATCTTATTGGTCGTTCCTGGAGCCAGTTTAGGGCCAATGAAAACTGCGCTCCTGACCCCCACCCCTAGGAAAGCTTATAAAGGCTTCCTACTTGTTTATTTCTCAATCCTGTGGCGCTGCGAGGGTCTGAAATTAGAGAGCCTTCACTTCATTTGTAGTCATGTCTGGTCGCGGCAAGCAAGGAGGCAAGGCCCGCGCTAAGGCCAAGTCGCGCTCGTCCCGCGCCGGCCTGCAGTTCCCTGTGGGGCGTGTGCACCGCCTCCTGCGCAAAGGCAACTACGCCGAGCGGGTGGGGGCCGGCGCGCCGGTGTACATGGCGGCCGTGCTGGAGTACCTGACCGCCGAGATCCTGGAGCTGGCGGGCAACGCGGCCCGCGACAACAAGAAGACGCGCATCATCCCTCGTCACCTGCAGCTGGCCATCCGCAACGACGAGGAGCTGAACAAGCTGCTGGGCAAAGTCACCATCGCCCAGGGCGGCGTTTTGCCCAACATCCAGGCTGTTCTGTTACCAAAGAAAACCGAAAGCCACAAGGCCAAAAGCAAGTGAATGTCGGCAAAAGACCATCAAAGACCAAAGGCTCTTTTTAGAGCCACCCAAGCCTTCAAAAGAAAGAGCTAGTGCGCTGTTTTGTGGTCAGCCCTTCATTGGACACTGTTGGCTCTTAAGAGTTTTTTGGGGGCGAGTGGGACCGGGAGTGGCAGTACTTTTAATTACTTGTTTTTGCCAAGCTTGTGACTCGCCGTTTTCTTAGGCAATAGGACGGCCTGGGTTTTGGTTAAGACGCCGCCCTGGGCGATGGTAACACCCCCTGAGTAATTCGTTGAGCTCCGCGTCATTCCTCACGGCCAGCTGCAAATGGCGGGCGACGAGCGCGACTTGGCCTTGGCCCGAGCTTTGCCTCCCTGCTTTCTGCGTCCGGACATCACGGCCAATAAAAAAATATATATATATATATATATATATATATATATATATATATATATATATATATATATATATATATATATATATATATTGGGCAATTACAGACTTTTACCATGAAAAGGATGAGTAAAGAATTACCAATATGATGTGATTTGTCAACGCTATCGGGAGGGGGTGAAAGGAGGTCTAACAGCCAGTAAGAAAGCAGACTTTTCGTTCGCATCCGGCAGCACCAGGAAATGACGGATTTCGCAGCTATTACCAATTGCTGTGAACGATATTAAATCCCCTTATTCGTGTGCCAGGATTTTTAAAGAGACAAGGTTTTCAAATAAGGTGCTGTCCTGTTTTTCCGAGTGGCACTTTCTCCAGTTTAGGTAAGTAAGTGGTGGCAACAAACAATGCTGGTAGTTTTTTGCAGGCTTGTTTGGCCCAAAAGGGCTGCGGAGGGCCTCCAGCAGATGCATTTACTCCCACTCGGGTTATGAAACCGATTATCTCCTGGAGCCTTAAATTACCCTCAAGTCCTGCCATTTCTGCCTCCTCAGAGCCAACAAATTACCCTAAAGAATACACACTAATATTATACACATACTAAGGCGGTCATATATTCCTTTCTCCAGTTTAGTCACTGCCAGCAGTGTGACTTGACCCCACCCCCACCCTCCTCCGCTGCTCGGAATGCAGAGACAGAGGGCTACAACCGATCCATCCTCCCCATGACCCCCAGGAGGCATCGAACACCACCTTCAAACTTGCTCCCTTTGCTTTCAGAATGTCCCGGCTTTATCCTCTCCTATTCCTCTGCCCATCCCTAAATGGGTGTGTGCATCCATGCTCTGCCTCCCTCCCCACCCTTTACATTGCTCCCTCTTCCCAAAGTCTAACCCATTTCCAAGCTTTCAATTAACATCCAAATTTATTGCAGGAACTCGGATCCTTACACCAAACTGGTCATTGGATGGATATTTCAACCTGTTTGTCCCAATCACTGCACACGTACAAATGCCCGCCCTCACCCTCTTCTCTTTGTTGTTTTCCTGAAATGCACCAACAATCTTGAGCCAGAATCTACTCCTCCCTGCATCTCAACAGCGTATCCTGCTACTTCCTCAGCATCTCTTCAGCCTTTCCCTCCACACTACAGTACTCTTGAACGCTCATTATCCTCTCTTAGATCAGCAACGGACCCTACAGATTCATTTGCAGAGTCCTAGTCCTCCATCTATCTTTCATAAAAATCTTTTCTGAAAGTTCCTCCTCAGCCTCCCATGTCTGGGAGTTCTACATCCTGCACACCATTTCCACCCTTTCCTGAGTATCCCATTAGGACATTAGATAGAATGCTCTAGAGTCTAGAGAAAAGAACCAACAAATTCTATTCCTTGAGCCCTTTTCTGATGTTCTATTTTACCTTCACCCTTATTCATCCAATATTTATAGAGTACATGCTACCTATCAGGCTATGGTTACACAGAATACAGACTAGTACAAAGAACTCTGTAATAAGATGCCTCTAAAAAATAAAAATAAATAAAAAAGAGGAGGAATTCTGAACTCTGGAAGTTAAATTAGCTAATATCGGCTATCTGTAGAGATCCCCTCTGGTAATAATGCTGGTAAAGATTTGTGAAACAGCTGAAACCAATTTGGCTCAGTGGATGGAGTGTTGGCCTGTGGGCTGAAGGGCCCCAGGTTCTATTCCAGTCAAGGGCATGTACCTTGGTTGCAGGCATATCCCCAGTGGGGGTGTGCAAGAGGCAGCTGATGTTTCTCTCTCATCGATGTTTCTAACTCTCTATCCCTCTTTCTTCCTCTCTGTAAAAAATCAATAAAATATATATATATTTTTTTAATTTGTGAAACACCCAAATTCCATTAAATGTGATGGTACTATTTCCTCAATAATAGAATGCAACTGAAGATAATTCTAACCCAATCCATTACATCGTTTCAGAAGATGCATGTGATAATAGAGCGGTCTAAATAGAGACAAAACAGGGCAATTACCGTAGGAATGGTTGTTTCTAAGTATATGTCTGCTAGACACAAAGGATTGGGCTGTTACAGAAAGGACCCTAGTTGTGAAAGCATTGGCCTTTTCACACAGCCTGAATAAACTATTTCTGAACTCTAGCCACCTCTCTTAGCTCAGATTCCGTGCTCAATTAATTTTCTGATTAGTCTATTTGAAGATAAAAATATGAGGCTGAGAAGGGGAGAGCCAGTTATGGGAAGGTGCATCTCTCTAGAAGTTTCATTTGCATTCTGGGCAGTCAGAAATTTCTGATGTATTTTGTTAGTGTGAGTCTCTCCCTGAGAAGCTAATCAACTCTAGAAGTTCTGATAGTTTCACATTTTCAGAAAGGCCCTGATTGTGAGACAAACTGACTTCCCCCTCCCTGAGCTCTGATGTGTTTGTGTGTGTGTGTGTGTGTGGTTTTTTTGTTGTTGTTGTTTTGTTTTGTTTTTCTATCACAGTGACCCTAGGCTGACAGAGAGGGAAATAAGAAAAGGGATTATATGTTACTATTATGTGAAAAGTCCTATGCTGGGACTTACCCTGGAAGTAGATATAATTGTTTGTTTCACAAATAAGAAGTTAAAGGACTTGCCATAAATCACACGGCCACTTTCTAAGACACAATTAGAAGCCAGGTCTGCCTGGGCCAAACACTGTGCTCTTTACCAATTCATTCACCCTGCTTCACTAACTAGATGTTAGGCTAAGTGAATACTTAACCTACCCAGCACTGCTTTCTTCCTCTGTTAGAGTGAGATAAACAATACTTCCGATTCCATCCAGCTATAAAACTGTATTAGGTAAGTCTAGATAGGCCAATATCCTTCAAATTATTCCAGGCTCAATTACTGTCTATTGCTCTCCGGAGGTCCTTTCCCAACATCCTTACAAGAGCTATTTAAAAAAATAATAATAAATAAATAAATAAATAAAAACAACAACAACAACAACAAAAAACCAACAGCCGAAACCGGTTTGGGTCAGTGGAAAGAGCGCCAGCCTGCGGACTGAAGGTTATCGGGTTCGATTCTGGTCGAGGGCACATACATGGTTACGGGCACACCCCCAGTGGGAGGTGTGCAGGAGGCGGCTGATCGATGTTTCTAACTCTCTAACCCTCTTCCTTCCTCTCTGTAAAAAATCAATAATTTTTTTTTTTTAAAGCAACAGAGCAGGCCATTTATAAAAGTAGTACATCATCACAGAGCAACAGGCTGGATCTTATTGCCTTAACACCTCTGGGATTCTGAACCAAAGGCAGCTGAGTTCCCTCCCAAGCAATCTAGTTAATCAAACATTTATTTTGCACTTTGCTCCATCCCACCATTCAACCATAGTCCCTCCCTTTCCTTTCCCTCCACCTCCCCCCAACACCACCCAGCCTCCTCCATACTGAGCTGTTCACATTCAGAGGAGCAAGGCCTTCCCCACCGCCATTGTACATAGTTCCTCTGGCTAGAATGCTTCATCCTCCTCTTGACCTGCAAAATCCTCATCCTACAGTTTCAGCCAGATATTACCTCCTCTTCGTTCATGAGGCTTTTCCTACTCCCATACACACAGCCTCAGTTTACCCACATCTCTGTTCACATCCTGGTAACAGCACCACTCTGTTCTGTGCTCTGACATTGGTCTCTATGACCACCTCAAGGGAGAGACCACGTATTCATCTTTGAATCAGGAGTCCTTAATTCCCTCTACTTGACTCTTACTAGGGTAGTTAAACGTTTTTGGCACAAATAAATAAGACAATACTCTTAGAGAATTAGTGTCATCATTTCTGAAATAGTTCTCTTTAGTCAACAACCACTCTCCAAATGCCAACTATACATAATAGACTGTGGTGGCCAGAGTGATGGGAGATATAATAGGAACTAGTCAATTAAATGAAAATAATATACTAGTACTTACCATAACAGAGTTATTAGAATAAATTACAATAAGTGTAAAGATCCTAGTGCAGGGCCTAGAGCCTGAGGCTCAGTGCTGGATCAGGAGAAAGAATAGCTTACTGGTTAATAGCCCAAATTCTGACCCAGTTTAGAACAGACCTGGCACCAACAAAGCAGGGGCATCCTAAAAATTCTTCCAATGAATTTGGAATATCAAAAATAAACACTGGAACCCAGCCAGGTGTAGCTCAGAGGTTGAGCGTTGATCCAGGAACCAACAGGTCACCGGTTCAATTCCTGGTCAGGGCATATGCCCAGCTTATGGGCTCGATCCCCAGTGGGGAGCATGCAGGAGGTAGCCAATCAATGATTCTCTCTTATCGTTGATGTTTCTCTCTCTCCCTCTCCCTTCCTCTCTGAAATCAATAAAAATATATTTTAAATAAATTAACACTGGAGCATGGCCAATATGGCTCTGTGGTTGAGCATTGACCTAGTATATGAGCCAGGAAATCACAGTTCTATTCCCTATCATGGCACATACCCCGGTTGTGGGCTCAATCCCCAGTAGGGGGGATGGAGGAGGCAGCTGACCAATTACTCTCTCTCATCATTGATGTTTCTAATCTCTCCCTCTCCCTTCCTGTCTATAATCAATAAAAATATATATTTAAAAAATAAATAAACAACCAAGACCGGTTTGGCTCAATGGATAGAGCGTTGGCTTGGGGACTGAAGGGCCCCGGGTTCGATTCTGGTCAAGGGCATGTACCTTGGTTGCGGGCATATCCCCAGTAGGGGGTGTGCAAGAAGCAGCTGATCGATGACTCTCTCTCATCCATGTTTCTAACTATCTCTCTCCCTTCCTCTCTGTACAAAATCAATAAATTTTAAAAAAATAAAAATAAAAAAATACATAAACACTGGATTTATCCTATGACCCATCAATTCCACCCTGGATATACCCCAAACAGAAATGAATGTTTCCATCCATCAAAAAGCATGTACAAGAATGTACAAGCATGTACAAGTATACTCATATAACTGCAATACTACACAACAATAAAAATTAACAAATAAAATTATTGCCACACACATGGATGAATCTAACAATGTTGAGCCAAAAAAGCAACACAAATTAGTTCATACTATGTGATTCTATTTACATGACTTTCAAAAACCGACAACACTAATCTATGGTGAGAGAGAGGTTAAAATAACAACTACTATGACAGGATGGTATTGACTTCCCAGAGCCTTCCAATGTGCTGGAGTTTTTCTATACCTTCATATGTGTGTATTCATATATAAAATTAAGCTGTACACTTAAGATTTATAAATTTCCCATGTGAAAGTTAATTAATTTTTTCTAATGAACAAATATTGAAGTAATCATGGTGGGGGTCAGATGGGTATTTTGTTGGGCATTCCAGTCCTCATGTTATAGATTAGTATTCACCGTTGTTTGCTTTGTTTTCATTACACATAAGGTGACCACCATAATCTCTAGATGCTTAAAGCCTCTAAAAGTCTTAATGAGGCCATGAGAAACCTTCACTAAATAATAAGTATTATTATGACTATGTTTTTACTAGAAATAAAAACTATAGGTGGCCCTATGTGGCTTGCCCCTTATTTTTGCAAGAGGGATAATAATGTCAGCCCTCTCTATTCATACATTTCATTCATCCATTCAATAAATGTTATTGAACACCCACGTATGCCACAGCATCTAGAATGTATTGAACACATTCCCTCCTCCTAGATTCCTCTTTCCACAGGGTTAATTTTCTCGTCATTCAAAGTTTTCCCTTGCCCCTAAATCTGGATGGCATGCCTCATTTGGCATTTTGTTCTATATCCTATCATGGCACTTGGCAATTGTCCTCTCACTTGTCCATCTTCTCCGGTGTTCTGTAAACTCCTTGAGAACAGGGTCTGCTTTATACCACAACCTGCCTAACTGGTCTGGCACACAATATTAGTAACTACGTACGTGTTCAATAAATGGAACGGAGTTCTCTTTTCTTGTGGGTAAAATAAAGGAGTTGGGCTACACGATTGGCAAAGAAATGTATTGAATAACTCCAATCCCAACTGCGCAGGGATTTCTTGTTTTTTATCGGATTGTTTGTTTGCTTGCTTTTTTCCTTTACCGAAGGGTGTTGCATTCCTCTGCTGAAGAACCTCAGATGGCCTCACGAGACTGCAGAATCAGACTACAATTCCCGTGAGCCCGCGGGGCATCACGTGGCACCTGCCTGGTCCACTGCCGCGCAGTGAGGACTCCATTTCCCAGCATGCCTCGCTCAGGGCGAGAGGACAGCATTTCGCCCAGAAACGCCAGGAGTTGGGGGCCCTGAACCGAAACCGCTGTCGCCAAGGCTGAACCGAAGGTAGAAGGGACCCAGCCCAGGGTCCAGAGGGGGACGCTGGCCCAACCGGAAGCCCGGAGTTGCACATTCCTCTTTTGCAACCTCCGATCTAGTCCTATGAACCCCCTAATTAACGGACGTAGCTGGCGCGCCGGCCTCCGCTAACCCTCGCGTGGCCGACCCTCGCCAAGTCCCGCGATGTCTCATAGGGGAAAGAGGCGGAGTCTCGGGTTCTGGCGTCTGGGCGGCCTTTCCCGCTGCTGCGGGCGAGCTGTGCCCTTGGGCCGCTAGGGTGGGGGTTGGAGCGTGGAGGGATGCGGCTCTCATGAGGCGGGAGCCCTGAGCCACACTCACTGCTGTGGCATCTGTCTCTAGGGTAACGGATGCTGAGCGCACTGCTGGTCAGGCGTCCGTTTTCCATGGCCGGCCGCGTCTGTCTGTCCCGGAGCAGCGCGGGATCCGGGACCGTAGGCCCCGTCGAAGCCGTCATCCGCACGAAGTTGGAGCAGGCCCTGAGCCCCGAAGTGCTGGAGCTGCGTAACGAGAGCGGCGGCCACGCGGTCCCCCCGGGCAGCGAGACGCACTTCCGCGTGGCGGTGGTGAGCTCTCGCTTCGAGGGCCTGAGCCCGCTGCAGCGGCACCGGCTGGTCCACGCTGCCCTGGCCGAGGAGCTAGCTGGGCCCGTCCATGCGCTGGCCATTCAGGCGCGGACCCCTGCCCAGTGGAGAGAGAACCCCCAACTGGACGCGAGCCCCCCCTGCCTGGGTGGGAGCAAGAAAACTCGAGGAATCCCCTGAACCCCAGAAAGCGAGGGCCAGGATCCAAATGGGTTGGGTGAGAGTAAGCTACCGGGACCTTCTCCCCTTTAGTTAGTCCAATCTTTGTAAGGGAAGAGGATCACTGGCCCCTCACCCAACCAACCTATACTTTATTCTCTGGAGGCACCAACTCCTTTCAGATCAAAGCTAACCCAAGGAAAGAGTAGAATCACTCATTACTGCCTTTGCCCTGGACTGTTCAGAAAAAGCTGCCCATTCGCTTTATGTTCAATTGTGACTAAGGAACTACCGAGTCTGATGAGCAGAAATAATCCGGTACATTAAAAGAGAAATTATATGAGGTGTGTTGCTGTGTTATTAATTGCATATGTATGAATCAGTGAGAAGAAAGATGCCTGACGCCCAAGGTAGTTAGGGAGGGCTTCATGGGGGAAGTGACTTAGTTGGGGATGACTTAAAGAAAGTACAAAAGATTGCTGCATTATATGGTAGTTCTATATTTAATTTTTTAAGGGACCTCCATATTTACCATAGCAGCACCAGTTTGCATCACCACCAAAAATGTGCAAGGATTCCAGTTTCTCTACATCTTTGCCAACACTGTCTTTTGGGGAGTTTTTGGTAATAGCTGCCGGATAGGTATGGGCTGTTATCTGGTGGTTTTGATTTTCATTTCCCTGGTGATTATTTACATTGAGCATAGTTTTTCATATACCTGTTGGCCATTGGTATGTCTTCTTTGCAGAAATATTTGTTCAAGTCCTTAACCCATTTTTTAAGTCAGGTTATTTTATTATCATCATTATTATTGTTATAGTTTTGCTATTGAGCTGAAGGACATTATCCCAAGTCTTCACATCTGGGAGACGGAGAGAGCCCTCCATCCGTAGAAATGGGAAAATCAAAATCAGCCAATGGAGGAAACCAGTGTGATACCTCATGTTATTCTGGCTTTCATTTTGGAGAGAGGTCTTTTCCCATCTCTCCATCTTCCCTTTCAACAGGCAGAGCAGAGAGGCAAAGAAGCAGGCATAGTCATTTTGGATTTTAAGGATTGGTGGTTTTTATTTTTCATCGATATTTTTTCATCTCATTTTTCACATCAATAGAGTTGGGTTTAGGGTTCCCCAGGAGAACAAGGGAAATGGATGGGTCCCTCCCGGGGGTGCAGGAGAGAGGGCTGCATCCAGCAAGTGAAGGGCGGAAGAAGGGCACACACTCGTACACGGGGCACTGGAGAAGGCAGTCCTTTGAGCACAGAGTTAAACAGTCGCCACCTCGTTCAGGGGTACAAAATGGGGAGGGGGGCATTGAGGTGGGGGCGGCCATAGAGGTGGGGGCACCAGATGCAGCCTGAGGAGGATGAGTTTGGATTTTCTTTTTGTTTTCACTTTTTTCTTTTTAACTTAACATTTTACAAACAGCTAAAAACTACAACACATCACAGCTACACTGGTGGGGAGGGGGGCACCAAAAAAAGCAGCCACACAACGTGGGGTGGGGCAGGGGCAGCTTAACCTACAGGGGCTATTGTGTGGAAGGGCTGAGATGGGGAAACTGAGGCTCTGGTCCCTGCATGAGGGGGTCCCTGGCTTACCACCCAACCTCTTTCCACTTGAGAGGAGTGGCTGGGCAGGCCCCTGCTTCCTGCCCCTGCCCCAGCTCTTTGTGCTTTTTGATCTGCTGGTTTGACCTTATGCCAGCTTTCTTTCCCTCCCCTGATCCCCGACTGAGGGGACAGGTTGTGGGGTGTGGGGAGCTGTGTGCTGTAACAATCTGTGCTATCGTGAGTGGAGCCTCTCCAGAGGCGGCCTATGCTTCTTGAGGAAGGAAGGTACCCTCATCTCCCTGGACCGTACTCACCCAGCCTGGCCTGGGGCCCCTCCCTCCCAGGCCGGCCCAGAAACAGGACAAGGGGAGATACTAAGGAAGGCAGGGTTGTGTGTGTCTGCTGAAATTACTCTTGGCTTGTATTGTAGGACAGTATAGTGACACCCCACCCCATGGCACATACACAGAGTGTACACGCGCAGACACACACACACACACACACACACACACACACACACACACACAGAGTCCTGCTGAGCTGCTTCAGAACGTAATATATAAATAAGAATCAGCTGATTTCATAAAATCCAGGTTCGTTCTTACAGCCTATGTTGAGGGGGAAGTGGAGGCTAGGGGTCTGAGGTTTATTGCTACTCCCCCGGCATCCAACAGGAGGCATGAGAGAGCACTCCAGGCCCTTCTGACTCTTCCGATTAGGTTCTTCTGGTCCGTGGTCTACACCAAGCCGCAGCCCCCAGCATAACAACACGTCCATGACTTCATCAGGGCAAAGGCAGAGGGAATGAGGGGGAAGGCAAGAAGCCTGTTCTGGAGACCCTGGAGCTAAGAAGAGCGAAGACCCCCTCCCCCTCACTAACCCTGGGGGGAAGAGAGGGGCCAAGCCTTCTCTTGTGCAAAGTCAAGGGTGATAGGAGGTGGGGAGTGGAGCTGCATCCCAGAACGGGGATGAAGGAGCCTTCCCTGTAGTGTTTGCCCCCGGGGTCACACACATGCACACGCACACACACACAAGGCTGACACCACACATGGGCATGGCGAGTGAGGGCTCGGGACCAGGATGGCAGGGCCGGGGAAGGGAAGGAGTTGGTCTCACAGTGTGCCTGCCACCCCCAAAGTCCCAGAGCGCCCCTCACTGCAGCACCTGCCCCCGGGTCTCGGGCAGCTTCAGGGCCAGAGAGCTACCAAGGGCAAGGGCAGCAGAGGCGAAGAGGATGGGGGCGGCCTTGGTGATTCCCACAAAGGACGTGAAGATGCTGATCCCCAGCACCGCGGCCAGCTTACACAGGGCGTTCAGGAAGCCAAAGGCTGTGGTCCTGCTCAGGGGTCCCCCAGTGCAGCATGGGATGGGCCAGACCGGAAGAGAGACAGAGAGAGGTGGGGAGGGTTTGTGGGGGGAGAGCAGGTAAGAGGAAGTAAAGGAGAGATGGCAGGCAATGTCCAAGAGGTAGAGGAAGGACAGAGATCAGGGGAGGGACACACATCAGGGAATACAGGCAAGGGGTAAGGAAATGGAAAATTCGGTTAATAGTTAAGATCTCAAGGAGTGAATTCAAAGCTAAAGCTAACCAGCTCTTAGAGGAGAAACTCAATGGAAATGTATATCCTTTTATCCCGAAAGATGCTTTTTCCATTCAGCCCCACTTCCTGCCCCCACTCCTCTCCCGCCTTCTGTGCCCTCACCCTACTGTCCTGCCCCCACCACATCCCAACTACCTCTTGTCCGAGGGGTAGAGTTCAACAGTCAACACGTCCAGCGCGTTCCAGGATGCGATGCTGACCCCCCCAAAAAGGCAGAGCAGAGCGATCATCGCTGACTCGCTGTTCCCAAAAGACAGGAAGAAGCAGGAGATGCAGGACATCACACTGGAGCCGGCTGGAACCGGAAAGGAGAGCAGTGTGAGCCTGGCCACCGTGGAACCCATCCACTACCCACCTTGTCCCATCAGCTGGTGCTGAGTGCAGCCCAAAATGAGACCCCAAAGGAAGGCTCCTCACTCATTCCCAGCCTCCCTTATTGTCTTCCTAATGAAAACCCTAGGAAGCAGCCCCCGCAGCCTCCCCCGTCCGTCCACCCCCCACCCCCCTTGCAGAAGAAAAGAGAGAGAACCTTCTCTGGCTAAGTTCTTCCCCAGCACCCTAATCAGTTCTGACACCACCACCCAGCCCCTCCCCCTTACCAAGCATCCGCAGCCTGCCGATCTTGTCCATGAGCAGGGCAGACACAATATTCCCCGGAAGCACAGCCAGAGTCCCCAGGAAGCTGACGAAGTACACCATGTAGGCACCTTCGCCCGTCCCTGTCACGTCTAACTGGCAGCCCTCCTTGTTGTGCAGAAACGTGCTGTTCACCAGGTGGCTGTTCACGAACTTGTACTCAAACAGGTCTGGGGGGAGTGTCAAGACAGGCGGGCAGTTGTGTCAAATGGGGGAAGGAGGCTGCAACTGCTATGGCTCAGGCGCAGGCTCTGCCTTTGTGGAGTTTAGCAGTTATTGCAAAACATCAAATAACATCACCATAGGAACTAGTATTCTTTTTTTTTTTTTTTTTTTTTTTAATCCTTATAGCAGAAAATGTCCGTAGTCTAGTACATGAAACAGTGTGACTGTGTCCAAGTTTTTTAATCAATAATCGGCTTTTCGGTCTATATAAGCCTTTTCCATCTCCTTTCTCCCTTCCCCCAACCCCCTTCTCTGTCAGGCACATCACCTTTACCTTCCTCACTTCTAAGATCCCAGGGCCCTTCCTTTGCCTCTGTAACTTGTTTCCTAAGCCCATCTCTTCTAGCAATTACTTCTCCTACCTCTGTGATTTTCTAAGTAAATGTTCTCTTATAAAAAATAAAAATGAAAAAATAATCTGCCTCCTGTTGATTCTTCTTGTCCGCCTTGCTATTAGCAATGGCAGAAAAAAAAAAAAAAATACTGAAAAAAAAATTTAAGACCATTGAAAGTCCTATTCATTATCTTTTCCTGCAAAGTGGGAAAAGCTCACCCAGTACTCCATTTAGAGGTGGGAAACCCAGTCTAACAATTCCAGCATTTCATGTGCATACAGTTTGAGAATCACTGTTAAAGAAATGGACTGATGCAATAATTTCCAACCTTTTCCTCACCAAATATCTCTTTTGTTTTTATTTTTCCCAAGGACCCTGTTTTGAATGATTTTTGCCCTCTTCAAAAGTGCATTATTACCACCACATTGAATTGTTTAAAAAAAAAAAAAAAATCCCTGAGCGAGGGACCCCTCAAAGTGCACCCAACCTTTTGGTCTGACAGCCTCTGGCCACTCCCCCTTACCAGTGTTATAGAACACGGTGTTGATGAACGTGCAGTTGCGGAAGAATGTGTTGCTGGATGTGACGTCCTCGAAATAACACTCCTCAAACAGGGAGTCCTCAAAGGTCACTGACTTCAGACGCAGCCCAATGAACCTGGAAGACCAGGATGGTGAGAAGCACTTCCCCTCCTCCTCCTCCCCTCCTCCAAGGCTCGTTCCCTTAGTGAAGTAATGGGAAGCTGGGGCATTGAGGAGGAAACCCCGGATCTTTGCTCAAAAAAACACATGTCACAAAACTCTCAGATTCATAAAAGAGACCAGGGGAAGAGGGACAGGAGAGTGCGGCATAAAGGTCCCCACATACTTGTCATTGAAGTACTGTCCCCCTCGGTGGATCTGGTTCTCCAGGGTGAAGTTAAAGGTCACGTGCTCTACCCGCTCCCCAGGGAACACTTTGGTGCGGGCTGCGTATTCCACCGCCTGGAGATGGCGGATCATGTCGGGAAACCAGACAGTCAGGCCATAGTAACTGGAGAGTCAAGGGCGATGGAATCAGACAGGAGCTCAGGGCTTGGAACCAGGCAGTCAGTCCAGAATGAGGTGGGAAATTGAGGATTGGCCCACCTCAGGATCTTGCTCACCGCTCCAGTCTTACCTCTCACCTCTCCTCCCTTCACCAACTGTAGTGGTTCATCTACCCCTCCCACCAAGCTCTTTCTCTTCCAAGCATTTTCTCTTCCCTCTGCCCTAAAACATCCTCCCTAACCCACCCTCAGCCTAACTCCCATTCATCCCTCAGAACGCAGATCTGGGCTGGGAAACCCCTCTCCTGTGCTCCCCACTCCCCTCCCCGACGTGGTACTCATCATACTGCCTTATGCTAGTTTTGTCTGGCTCCCTGCCCAAGATGTAAACTCCATGAGGACTGGAACTACATTTATTTCAGCCCAGCACAGTACCTGACAGAACAGAAACTTAACACTGTTCAGCCTATAGGACAAGCTTGTTGGATTAATGAATGACGTAGAGCAGTGTTTCCCAAACTTATCTCATGATGAGAATCACCTGATGGAGTTGTTAAACTACAGTTTCCTGAATCCCAACTAAGAAGTGCTAAACTAGAATTTTTGGGAAACAATGGCGTAGAGCACATGTGTCAAACACAAGGCCCGCGGGCCAAATCCGTCCCGCCAGGCCTTGCAATGTGGCCCGCACCGCGCTGTCATCACTGCACTCCGCTGCATTTCCATCACAATGACAGTTTATGACTGTTCAGTAAACCATTCGGCCCGCGATTTAGGCTGGATTTTAGATTTTGGCCCCTTCTCTGATTGAGTTCGACACCCCTAGCGTAGAGGAATGAGGTGGAGGATCAGAGGGAATCTGAACAGCACCTTCCCTCATTATTTGCATTAGTTGCCCCCTTCATTTCCATTTCATCCACCTCTGTCCCAACCCACACACCATCACACCCACTACATACCATCTACCCCACCCACCTCTCACCTGAAGGACATGGTGAACCACACACCCATCATCATCAGAGTGATGCGTCGATATTCTGGACCAAAACAGGAGAGGAAATTCCCCCAAACCTAAGCAAAATACAACGAAGTCAGACAGTGGCCACACTAACTTTTAACACCCCCACACCCCCATGTCTCTACCCTAACGCCTCCCTTCAGTTTACTATCACCCCACACACAGGCTCAAGCCCCGCCTTCCTCTCCACTCCTCCCACTTCCTTCTCTCTCTCCACCATACAATCCCTTATTACCTGCCCCCCCAGGTTCGATGCCCGGACCCCCCAGCGCTGGTACCAGGTCCCTGTGTCTGACTGGATTTCAATCAACTCATCCTCCTGATGAATCGTCTTAATGTGGGTTACCTGGGGTTGAGAGAAGGAGTGAGCAGTCACCTACTCTGCATTTCCCAACTCCTTCCAGGGGTCTGTTTCTCCCACATTATCAAAAATGGGAGGAAGGGGTGGATAGGGTACTCTAAGATGTCATTGAGAGAGTGTTGTCAGAGATGCCTAGGAAGGTTGGGGTATCCAGAGAGGGGCCAGGTGGGGGTTGGGGTGCCGCGGCTTGGAGAACTAAAGGGTAGGACTGTGGCTTACTGAGAAGACTCGCTCGGGATGTCCCTTAGCTCGCATGTTGGTGTCGTGGACTTGCTTCAGCACCATCCAGGCCTCATCATGCTTCCCATTCTAGAGCCGACAGAATCCCCGTATCCAGGTTAGTCCTCCCTGGCCCTGGGGCTTCTGGAGTCATAGGACACAAAAAACGTCCCCACCCCCAACCCCTGACCTGTGGGCAGATCCATCACCCACTTTAAAAGAAGTTATAATCAGATTTGGGCAAGAGTGGGGGCCGTCCAGGAGATAAGATACAAGCATAGGTCCTAGGGATCCCTTGGTACAATGATAAAAAAGAAAACAAAACAAGCAAAGGATGAGATGGGCAAGCATGTAGTCAGACAGTCCTAAACCTGTTGGACCAAGATATAGTTGGAGGGGAGAACTGGGGAAGGGGGGAGAGGGGGAAAGGGAGGGAGTGAACTTTTCTGGAGCTGTGAGTCAGTGGTTTAAAATTAAACCACTCATGGTTGAACAGGTCCCCTGGCTTCTCCACCCACGGAACCCTTCTAGAGGAGGTAAGATAAAATCCAACAGTGTGGGCCCTATGAGGAAGGCAGCTCTATAGGATCAAACCAAACCCACAGTGGTGTCTGAACACAGGACCCCGATACCCTATCCCAACCCAGCCCCAGCCCAGTCACCTCCAGGAAGAAGCGGGGACTCTCGGGCTGTGTGGTCAGAGCCCCGATGGCAAACACAGAAGGGAAGGCGCAGACCAGGACAAAGACCCTCCAGCTGTGGAACTGGTACGCAGACCCCATCTGGAAGCTCCACCCTGGCAGGGACACGCAGAGACTCAGCAGAGAGGCCACTGGCTGGGGGTCCCCACCACGGGGAGCACAGAGAGGAGGGAGACCATCTGGGGTGCATTCCCGGTGGGCTGCTCACCATAGTGGGGGATGATGGCCCAGGCCATGGCAGCGGCGTATACTCCACCGATCATCCAAAACATGCAGAGCCAGCTCAAGTGCTCCCCACGTTTCTCCTGGGCCAGAAACTCCGAGAAATAGGAGAAGACAATGGGGATGGACCCTCCAATCCTGGAGGGCATTGCAAGAATTCAGCATTGGAAAATGGCCCTAGTCTTTATCTCCTGCCCCAGTGCTCTGGATCACCCAGTCCTTTTCATTGTCCAGACCCTTCTAGACTCCTTCTCACACCTAGAGCCCTACAGACTCCCTCACCACCATCCATCAAGCATGCAAGGGACCCTGGGTACAAAGCAGTATAGGTGGGAGGCCAGCAGGTCTCAGGAAAAGGGAGAGGACAAACATTGAACCTTGAAGATACTACAGAGTTGAAAGGAAGGAAAGATAATTACAGAAAAAGGGAAAGTTCCTCATCCATCCCACCTCCCCTCGGGGAAAAAAAAAAAGGAAAAAGGTAAAGAAGAGTCTGAGAGCAGGTATGAGGGAGCAGACCAGAAAATAGCTTAGAAACAAGGAGCATGCCCTGACCGGTTTGGCTCAATGGATAGGGCATCGGCCTGTGGACTCAAGGGTCTCAGATTCAATACCAGTCAAGGGCATGTACCTCGGTTGCAGGCACATCCCCAATAGGAGGTGTACAAGAGGCAGCTGGTCGATGTTTCTCTCTCATCGATGTTTCTAACTCTCTATCCCTCTCCCTTCCTGGCTGTAAAAAAAAAAACAATAAAATATATATTTTTTAAAACCAAAAAAATAAAAAATAAAAACAAAGAGCAAGTACATGCAGACAGAAGTGGAGGAGGAGGATGGGTCAAGGTTTCATAGTTCAGGTTGTCAAATGCAGGAAATATGAAGGCTCTGGGAAAGGTCCACAGATAACCAGATGTGAGGATGAGACCACTAGGCCTCTTCATGGAGTCAGGCTCAGAATGGAACTAAAGGGTGGGGTGGAAGGCTCAGGAACGGAACAGACATGGAATGGCATTCTGGGCAGGCAGCAGACGGGGTCCTGGACAGGGAGAAGCTGGCCTGAAGATGATGGGAGGAGAAGCATCATTCAACTCGTACATACTTCACATGCATCTGGTGTGCCTGGAACTGTGCTGGGCCCCAGAGATGTAACAGTGACCACAGCACAGCGCCCCCAATTTGTCCAGGGGCTTAGGAGGTGGACACTCACCCAACCCCAGAAAGGAGACGGCAGAAGAGGAAAGTGCCATAACCCTGAACAAAGGATGAGAAAAAGGCGAAGACGCTGTTGACTGAGAGAGAGATGAGCAGACACTGTCTCCGACCCAGCCGATCAGCCAGGCCGCCCCAGAGGAAGGCTCCCACCATCATGCCCAGGTAGACGATGAGGCCTGGAGGGAGGAAGAGGCAAGAAGGGTATGAGTCCATAGACCCACTCAGTGTTTCCATTCACTGAACATTAAATGATCTGAAACTGCAGCCGAATGGATCAAGGGCTCGAAGGTCTTCTAAAAGCTAATTCTATTCAGAGGTGAGAGCAGGTGAGGGAAGATAAATTGTGGAAGCAAAGATGGGAAGGCCATCTCTGCAGGCCAGTGGTTCAAAGGCAGGAATCCAGATACAGGGGAAACCCAAAATTCTCTCTTCTCTCGCTCTCCCTCTCTCTCTTGCTCACTGTTACTTCTCTCTCCTTGCTATCACAGACATGCAATACCTCCATCTCTGGCTTGCCTGGAATGAGGCGAATTCCTGAAACCACCCAGGAACCCCTCCATCCTCTCTGCCTTGAGGCCCTCAAAGTAACAGGCGGTCTCTCTCATGTTCCCTGGGAAAAGAGCTCGTCCTTTACTCCACCCGGAAATCCTCCCCACAAAATCCTTATAATTCCAGTACTTCTGTTCCCAAAACTCTCCTGTTTCTTCATTCATAAATTCACAATTGGAATCGATCTTAAAAACAATCTCCTCCAGACTCTACATTTTACCCATGCCTGAGCAGAGCCCCGGGGGAAAAGGAACCTCCCCAATATCTCATGCTAACGTGGCGGCAGAGCAAGACAGAGATCCTTCCTGCGTGAGTCTGGGAGTCTCCGTCCTCAGGGTCCCCAATAGGAAACACCACTCACTGGCTCCTGACTCCCATGACTGGCCAAGAGCTTCTCTGGCTGGAGGCAGGCCTAGGATTCTTCCCCTCCTCCCCAACCCCAAGCTGATCCTTCCCATATCACTTAGGGAGTTTGAATACTGACTTTTTGTTGCCGCAATCAGGGAAAGGGAGCAGGATAGCGAGAGGCTCTGAAGGTACATTAAATAGGGTCCCTCCCAACCACCAGCCCAAGTCCCAGCCCATCTGTCCTCCTCGAGGCCCACCCCAAAACAACCTCACTGTGACCCAAGTCCACCGGGAGGGTGTGTGTAAGGGGAAAGTGCAGAGGAACCCTGGGCCCTCTGGAGACATTTTGAGAGCAGGGTCCGAGGGAGGACAGGAGTTCTCAGGAGCATGGGGTGTTCACAGAGTTGGGAGCAGAATGGGGGCTGGAGCACCCCCAATGTGTCTTACCCAGCATGCCTTTGTTGGAGTCAGACAGGCACATGTCTTTCTCAGCGCTGGGCAGCACGAAGCCCACCACAAAGACCTCAACACCGTCAGCCATCAACGCCAGGCCAAGCACGAAGTAGAGTGTCCACTGGAAGCGGCCATGGCCACACTCCCGGAGGATGGTTTCATACTGCTGGGCCAGTTCCTCCCGGTCTTTCCGCCGCTGGGCCTCCCCCCGGCCCCCAAGCGGGCCCTCCCCGTCACTCAAGCCCCCCCTCACTCCAGCCAGGGGTGCTCCATCTGCCAGCTGCTCGCCTTTGCCCCCAGACTCTGCCCGGGGGATGCCCTGATACTCCCCCTCATAGATCTCATCATCCTCATCGTGGCCCTCTGTGGCGTCACTGGAGACGCCACCTTCCTCCTCCTCCTGGGCCCCTTCCCCGCGGTAATAGCCATCAGCTGGAGCCGGGAGGTCATCGTCATCATCCTCCTCCTCAAAGCGGGAGTAGGATCTGCGGGAATATTCGTCCTGGACCCTGTCCAGGCCCTTCACCACCTTCTTGGCCGCATGCTTCTTGACTTCCTTGGCAATGTCTTTGGCCCCACGAATGAAAGCTGCCCGGTCTCTGAAGCCCTCTTCCATGACAGGTCTCCCCACTCCCTGCTCCTGACTCAGCTTTTGCCCAAGAATGTGGCGTCAGAAAAACCCTTCTCCCTGTTACTTTGATTACGTGTGGCACAGAGTAGGACCTGGCCAGTGAGTGTCTAGAAGAAAAGAGGGGGGAGAGGTGTGGCCCACACCCAGTTCAGTTGGGTGCATAAGGGAGGGAGAGGGGAAGGAGGGGAGTGAGAAGGAGAGGGGAAGCCAGCTTGAGGGTGCTAAGCTGGGGAGCCAGGATAACTCAGGAAAAGCCGCCTACTTCTCCCAGGCACCTCTGGAGATCTAAAAATGAGAAGAAAGAGGTTGTAAGGCTTAAGATGGTAAATAAATAAATAAATAAATAAAAATAAAGAAGTCCAATACAGAACTCTTGTCAACCCAGAGCCCCACCTGAACCATGATGGACAGAGATGGCCTCCTTGCTTCAAGCTCGCATTCGCTAAGAAGGAATGACTGCTGGGACCAACTGCAGGTCATTCAGTGTAAACTCCCCTACTTTGACCTTGGAGACTAGATCCATGACAGTGGTCAGCAAACTCATTAATCAACAGAGCCAGATATCAACAGTACAATGATTGACATTTCTTTTGAGAGCCAAATTTTTTAAACTTAAACTTCTTCTAATGCCAATTCTTCAAAATAGATTTGCCCAGGTGTGGGTGCTGTTGTCCAGTACCCTCCCAAAACGATCCCTAGACCTGTCTGTGTTCAAACTCATTCCGGCAGTTTGGCCCACAGCCTCCAGCTAGACAAACAAAGGGAAACTCAAAAAAAAAGAGAGACCTAGAACCCGAGGCCATGGAGAAGAGGGCAGATCAAAGCTAAGAAAGAGGCAATGACTGGCTGCTCTCACCTTTCTTCAGGATATTATCACTGATGGCCCGGGAATGGAGGAGACTGATCAAGCATACACTTCCAACATGGAAGGTCTAAAGTCTATAGTAGCCCTAGCTCGTTTGGCTCAGTGGATAGAGCATCAGTCTTTGGACTGAAGTATCCCAGGCTCAGTTCCAGTCAAGGACACATGCCTGGGTCTCAGGCTTGATCCCTATGAGGGAGCATGCAGGAGGCAGCCGATCAATGATTCTCTCTCATCATTGATGTTTCTCTCTCTCTCTCTCCCTCTCCCTTCCTCTCTGAAATTAATAAATATATATTTAAAGAATAAATAAAGTCTCTAGTAGTAGCATCTCATTGCTCCAGGGCCTCCCCTCTTAATCCCACTTCATTCTTCCTGTTCCTCCTCCAGAAGTCTATAGAAAAGGAGTCTACGAATACCGCATTGCGTAGGAGGCCGGTATGGAAGGGGGGCCGTCAGCCTCCCCCCCTCCCCCCCAAAAATAGATCCTCCAGAGGGAGACATGGGAGGACCCCTCCTTCCTTCCTAAAGCAGAGGAAACAGGACTAGATTCTCACCAGGGACCATTCCCCTAAAATATCCTGCCTCCTTTTGCTCCCACCCAGCCAGCCTTCATTCAGTCTCTCTCTCTCTCTCTCTCTCTCTCTCTCTCTCTCTCTCTCTCTCTCACACACACACACACACACACACAGACACACACACACACACACACACACACACACACACGCGGAGGGGGTAAGCAGTGCTATGTGGCTCAGAGAGAAGCGCTGGCAAGCAGAGCCTTCCCCCCTCAAGGACAGATGTGAGCAGTGGGCCACCATGACCAGAACCAGTGACCCCTATGCCACCTTCATTTCTTTGTGGATCAGGGTCCAAACCAGCCCCCATGAGAGAGAGGGAACTGGAATCCCCTCACTGCATGGCAACTTGCTTTCCTCTTCTTTCTTTCCCAGCTAGGCTCTCCCCCCAAAACCCTGAAGGAGGCAGATGGGCCCAGCAGGAGCCATACCCAATGGCTGTAGCACTATTTACCCCCGAGGGCGCATGTGGGGTGGAGAAGGCCCCTGGAGCCACCGCAGGATGTGAGATGGCTCCACCGCCGGCTCCCCCAGGGCCAGCAAGCCCAGGAGGTCGGGAGAGAAGGAAGACAAATTCTTTGTGCTGGTGAGAAAGTGGTGCTATTTTTAGCTCCAGCAGCAGCACAGGGTGGCTAAGCCTGAGGGAGACAGACAAGACTCGGAGAGGTGGAGGCTAACGAAGACAAGATTCAGGGTTACACAGCCCTTTAAGGTCAGCTGGCTTCGTCTGGCTGGAAAAAAATGACATTCTTGGCTGAGGAGTGGGGGGCTGGGACTCCTCACTCATCCCTGGCTAAGAGGAGGCTCCAGGGGCCACCTCCCTCCCCATGAAAGCACCTGACTTTCAAAGCCACCTTGACTCCCCAGGCCACCCTAGCCCGGGTGACAAGGTCATTAAGGAGCAGTTACTTATCAAAACATCCGGGGTGGGGGGTACCGTGAGGGAGGAGTGAGGTACTGGAGCACCCCTCCCGGTTACCACTGCGGGACTGAGCCTCAGCCCCCACCCCAGGATAGCCAAGGCTGCACCTCCCCTCCCTCCATGGTACCCCAGGAAGAGGGAGCAGCCACATTTCTGAAGCAGGGGGGGGGGGGTTGTCAGCTGAGAATGCACACGTTGGAATACGGAGGGTGGGGTGAGAGGCAGGACGAAGGAAGAGACCTCTGCACAGGCACAGAGACCTTCTCTATCAGCATTTGTGACGACCCACCACCCCAGCCCCATCCCACCTCTGCTCTGCTGTAAGGGAGGAGCCCCTAGAATTGACTGAACCGATTCTCAGCGCCTCCCCTCACCCTGGGCCCTGCTGTTGGACCAGTGCCCACCATCACTCAGTACCCCTTCTTCCCCCCACATCCTGGAAGCAACTGCCTCCAGACCAGCCACCCACACCCCAACCCTGGTAGTTTACCATCTCTGCCTCCCCAATATTTCCATTTTTCATCCCCTTCCCTCCCTCCTTCACCTGCCCTTCCTCCCCTGCCCCCCCCCCCCCCCAAGTCCAGGCGAGCAGACTGAGGCAGCATCCATTCTCTGGCCTCAACCAAGGTCATTTATCAATTGGGGGGGGAGGGCAGTCGCCAAGGTGAGAGGGGATTGGAGTTCGAGGGAACCCTATTCCACCTAACAACCCCCCACCCTGTCAATATCTGAGGGGGGGAGGAGGGGAGTAAAGAAAAACATCCTCTCTCTCTCTCTCTCTCTCTCTCTCTCTCTCTCTCTCTCTCTCTCTCTCCATATATATTATAATCAGCACAGCAACTGAAATAAATGTCCATTCAAGCCGGCACCCATCCCTCCCCCTAAATCGGGGACCGCCACCCTCCCCATCAGCCATGCATAGGAGGGTAAAATGGCTGCAAGGCAAGGATGCTCCAGCCCCGGGCGGGGTGGGGGTGAGAGGCTGAGAGGAGGGGTCTCACCTGGGCTGGGTCCCCCGGGTTAGGGAATCCCGGGTGAGGGCAGGGGTCCCGGCCGGCAGTGCGCGGGGATGGCGGCGGCGGCAGCAGCAGCGACTGCTCGGGTACCCGGGGCAGCGGCAATGCAGACCTGCCCCCCCACTCCCCGGCCCCGCCTCCACCCGCACCCCACCCCCACCCATGCCTCCCAGCAGCGGGAGAGACCATTGCTGGGGGGAAGCGGGGAGAGAAGGAAGAAGGATGGGGAAGGACTCGGGGAAGCAGGGAGAGATGATGGAGGGCAGGGGGGTTGTCGCGGGAACAGCTGGAGATGGCACCAAACCCTTCCCAACCGCTGCCTGGTCCGAGAGGAGAGGACCTGAGGAAGGACTGGTGATGGAGGGAGGCCGGTGGGGAGCCTGAGCGAACGGCAGGTGGTGGATGAGGCAGCAGCCCCCCTCTCCGTGCCCCGGCCCCAGAATGGCAGGACCCACATGCTTTGGGGGTTCTCGCTGCCTTCAGAGCACCTCCTTTCTCCTTCCGCCCGCTCCCAGCCAGAACCCTTCCTCACACCCCCTCCCCAGGGCGGAGTGCTCAGCCTTCGTTTACCTGGCCATTGTCGAGAACGCAGGAACGACAAGGAGTGGTCTCCATCCCGAGCAGGCAGAGGCTCCTGGTTCCCTGCCGTCCCTTCCAGAAACAGTCCAGGTGGTTCATGTGCACGTGGACCTCCCCATCCTCCATTCAGGCACTGGCCTCAGAGGTGGGCACTGGAGAAGCTGGGCTCACAGGCCTGACCACCGGGCAGCTCCCCTTCTTTCTAGTCATTGGCTCCAATGGCTCAAAGGGTACTCCCTCAGTGCTCTTCCCCTTTCTGTGCGCGCGCGCGCGCGCACACACACACACACACACACACACACACACACACACTGCTGCTTCCAGGGCAAGAAACAGGGAATCGATTCCAGTTGTTTCCTTTCATCTTTCCTTTGTCCCTATGCGGACAACCTGGGCTCAGAGACCATCAGCTCCAGGGTTGAGGGGCTATTGCGTGGTTTGGGGATGTACGTGCAGAATGTGCCTCCTATTCCAGGAAAGGCCTGAGGATATTCTGGGCAGAGCACTGACCAGGGGCTCTGACCTGGGTTATCATTTCTTTTAATATATTTTTATTGATTTCAGGAAAGAAGGGAGAGGGAGAAACATCAATGATGAGAGGATTCATTGATTGGCTGCCTCCTGCACGCCCCCTGTTGGGGATCCAGCCTGCAACCCAGGTATGTGCCCTTGACCAGAATCCAACCCGGGACCCTTCAGTCCACAGGCTGACGCTCTATCCACTGAGCCAAACCAGCTAGGGTGAGGGTTGCCATTTCTAACAAGCTCTGGGCTTTGGTCAAGTTCTCCGCCTCCCTGAAACTCAGTTTTCTCATTGGAAAAATGGGGGGCTTGGATGAGATGCTGCATCAGATGCCTTTCAGATTTAACACTGTGTGATTCTGCTTTGCTAACCATGGAGGTTTCATAATCCTGGGATATGTTACATGGAGAGGACTGGCAGAACTATGGCCCAAGAGACCTCACAGGTGGCACTTGTGGTGTTAAATTTACCACTGACAGGTGTGTGGGCCTGGGTTTTGAAGACTCTAGCCTACATCTGGGAAATACTCATTGCTTACAATTAATAAAATATAAAGCCATAATACATACATAGTAATTGGCCATGAGAAACTTAACTGTCAGACTGAATGAAAACTCATGCCTACGCATCCAGCACATTCTCTCCTTTAAGCTACTTCAGAATCAGGGTGTCTGTGTGTAAATGCACAATGACATAACCGAACGGGAGTATTTGTATCTTTAATGGCATCTGGCCATCCCCCGTAAGGAGTGGTGCCAATGGGTTCAGAAAACTCTTCTTGGCTGCAGTTCTCCACCCCCATCTCTACGTTATGGGCAGCCTGGCTACTCCAACTGTTGGCTACAGCACTCTTTCCAGGATGGCACTTGGAACAGCTGTGCCCACGTGGGCCTCAAGGACTCTCCTTTTACAAGGAGGCTTCCATTGCTGACCTTTTTCCAAAGCTGACACATTCTTGGTTTACGTATGCTAATATTTTCAATTAGGGAATAGCCAAGTACTGCTGGCAGGGAGCCATTTCTTCTCTTTAAGGAGATTTTGCATACTCTCTACTGATCCATTACTTGCTAAAATAGAAACCTTATACTTCTAGAGAGAAAGCTTAGCCCTAACTGGTTTGGCTCAGTGGATAGAGCGTTGCCTTCAGACTGAAAGGTCTCAGGTTCGATTTTAGTCAAGGGCATGTACCTTGGTTACGGGCATACCCCCAGTAGGAGGTGTGCGAGAGGCAGCTAATGGATGTTTCTCTCTCATTGATGTTTCCAGCTCTCTATTCCTCTCTCTTCCTCTTTGTAAAAAAATTAAAATTAAAAATAAAATATATTTTTTTAAAAAGAGAGAGAGAGAGAAAGCTTATATTTTTCTTTTTAATGTCTGAGGAAAGGCTTCATTGTTTTTTCCAGGCACCACGACCCCATGCACCTCACCAGCTATTTCTTCAGTTCCCTTTGCTGGGTCCATTAACAGAGTTCTGAGGGGCTCAGTCCTGGGTCCTTCCACCTACTCTCTTCTCCTTGGTCACCTCAGGTAGTCTTATGGCTTTACTGCTGTCTCTATGCGGATGATTCCCATATTTACATCTCTGGTCCAGATCTTTCCCTCAAGCCCAAACTCAAAATCTCCGTGTCAATCCAATATCACTACATAGATATCTATTAAGTATCTCATACTTCACAGATCCATAAATAAACGTCTTATCTAGGTCTTCCTGGATTGTTTCTTCACTAAGGTGCTCAAGAAAAGAAAAAAAAAAGACATGAAGTTATCTTCTTTCTCTTTCATCTCTACGTCAGCAGGTCATGTCAGACCTGCCTTCAAAATATATTCTGAATCCACCACTTCTCACCAGCTCCATCACTTCCTCCCTAGTCTAAGCCATCACCATCTGTCTATAGCTACTACACCAGCCTCTTAACTGGTTTCCCTGCTTCCAATCTTGCTCCCCTGAAACTTATTCTCAGCAGTCAGGTGAGCCTCTAAAAACAAATCAGACCTGATCCAAGCCAAGAAATGAGTGCATATGTCCCACAAAAAGACAAGTATAATAAGTATTTTCATAACAGCTTTACTTGTAATTTAAAAAACTTCAACTGTTCCCTGTCTGCGGGGAGCACTGGTGCAGACACGGAGACGGGGCGGCCAGGCCTGGGGGCCCTGAGGGCGGGTCCTGTCCTCGCAGGCCAGGGCCACTGGGCCATTGTTGTCGGAGGGTCCCCGGGGCACCCCTTTGGCGGGAACAGCTCACTGCATTGTGTACCCTGGAGGTATTGCCATCGGAGCCCTGGGCACTGCCCGGCGGGGTGCGGGGGGTCGTGGTGGCCAAAGTGCAAGAAAGGCCGAAACTGGTGTCTCAGTGGATAGAGCGTTGGCCTGGGGATTGATTCGATTCTGGTCAAGGGCATGTACCTTGGCTGCGGGCACATCCCCAGTGGGGTGTGTGCAGGAGGCAGCTGGTTGATGTTTGTTTCTAACTCTCACTCTCCCATCCTCTCTGTAAAAAAAAATCAATAAAATATTTTTTTTAAATGCAAAAAAAATAAAAAATAAAAAACTTCAACTGTTAACCAGAAAATGGTTAAACTTGGGTAAACTAATAGTGGTATATTCATTGAAAGGGATGTTATGTAACAAATTTTTAAAAGCCTGAATTATTATATAAAACAGCATAAAAAGATGTCAAAAATAATGAACAGAAGCCACACCATAGAGTACATACTATATAATTCCATTTATATGAAGTTCAAGAAAAAGCAAATTAATCTATAGAAATAGAGGAAATAGTTACCATTTCCATCCTGGCCCCAAATTCCTCCTGTTGCATACTCTCACCTTGATTCCACTGTCCCCGTCATTCACTGTGTCCATTCTAACTCCAGGTCCTGCTATTTTGCCATTTATATACCTCCCCAATGTATCTCTTTATCTTCATCCCAGCTCCTGCTACAGTCCTCATTTACGACTTCATCTCTCACCTGAATTATTGCCTGATACATAACTTGGTACTTGCCCGGTCTTCATCCCTCATATCTACTTCACACTGCTACCACGGCTCTAAAACACAACTCTGCCACTCCCTTGCTTAAATCCCTCCTGTGGCTTCCCATCATGAACACCTTCCCGACCAGTTTTGGCAATGAGTGCAGATATTAATTCCCTCCGCACTTTGAGCTTCTCAGCAGAGCGTGGGACAGCTAGAATTCCTAGCCAACTGCCTCCAGCCTGAAGCAGCATGTCCCTTGCCCTCAGTATGCTGTTTCAAATGGCTCTGTGCCATGAAGTGAAAGAGCTGAGAAGCGATTATCTGTGGGAGCTCCTAAAGTGGCTCTGACCTCATCTTGCCTTCAACACCAAACACTCAAATATCACTTTTTTTCCAGGAACTTTCTTAGGTAGCCTTCCCTGTGCTTTCAAAATATGTATTTTTAAATCTTTATGGTTGAAAATATTACATACGTTCCCTTTTCCTCCCATTGACCCCTTCTGGACTGCCCCCAGCCCCCTCTCAAAATGTCTTATTGCATAATAATAAATGTCAGTCTGTATCCTTGGTAATGACTAACAGCAGAATGGTGCTCATCTTCACATCCTCTACTGCCCCACCCAGTCCTTGTAGGCACATAAAAATGTCAGAGAATGCTACAAAAGAGCAAGAGGGCCAGGCTCACCTTTTCTTGCCTCAAGTTTAGGAAAGTTTATGGTTAATAAGTCAAAACCGATAGCTGATAGCTTCGAGAAGGTGGTGATACAATCAAATTAAATGTGGTAAAAGACAGAAAGAAGAAAAAAAGCCAATGGATTTAGTCTAGCTAAGTCTTTGAGTAGATTCAAATATAATGTAAATCAGATTTGAAAAGACTGAGACAAAATAGAAAGACACAAATCCCTTATCCAGGATGTCTGGTGATAGAGAAGTCAGTGAAGATTTACTGAGTTCCTATGTCCCAATTCCAACTTTGTTTTGCAGTATATGGTTCCACACATTAACGTATATTTAGAGAAATCTAGCTTTCCTCCATCTCTCC